AGGGCTTGAAATTGATAACTTTGTGTCTCCACATGCTCAAAAATATTGTGTCTTCCAGTTTTATAAGTTTAAAGACATGGCTTGTCCTTTTATTATATTAATAAGAACTGATAGAATTCTAATCAAGAGGTTAACAGTAACCAAATGAGAGTGAAACTTATTAGTGTTCTTATATTGAAACATGCATTGATTTGGTTAATAACAGAAGAGGAAGAAACACACGTCAAATATGAACCTTTCCCTGGTCACCACATGAAAAAGAACCCAAGGAAAGAAATGTCGGAGATTGCAGTCCATTACCCCATACAATGTCAAAACTTTTAAAATAAAATTCACACTAAACACACATATGATTGTAAACAGGCATATACCCAAAAGATATCACAGCTCATTAAAATTGACTCAAGCCCAACCCCTAAGAATGTTTTTCCTAATTCTCACTACAACCATGCATAACAACTTAAAAGGCTTAAGCATATTTCCTTATTCCTATTTGATTAATTGCATCAGCCTAATGGGTTTCTTCTAACTATTTAAAATTGAAAACCTGCAAGGAATTAGTTAACAACAATACAAGAAAAACACACACCAAAGCATGCCCTTCCCTAATAGCCCCATGAAAAGAGAGAAAATCACAAAAACGACGTGCCTGATATTGCCGACCACAAAACCTATCATATAACTAGTCTAAATTTTATTTTATACAATGTGTCAATGTAAGGTGACTTGAAAAAAATTTCTTCAAGACAAAGGGTATGACTACGAATCAATTGCCGCATACCAATCAAAGAATAAGAGATTAAGAGAACTGACGATTGATCAAAAACATTACAATTCATACGCATGTATAGAGAATCCGAGAATCATATGCACACACATAAAATCAATATGTTCAATTGTTAGAAAACCTTGGCAATTCATTCGCATAACAATGACGTGCTTGATAATTGATAATAACAATGAAGATGATTGACAATCAGAGATTGAAAATTCATACGCATACACATGGTTTTAAAATAATCATAGAATGACAAGCGTTTACCATTTGAGAGTGGGTTGATGAAGAAGCTGCCCCGATGAAAAAGCAGGAATAACAAAGAAGCGTCATGATCGTTTAGAAACATATCCCTAGAATCTTTTTCTCTATTTAATATCTAAAAAACATAATAGAAGGGCATAATTGGCAATACAAATAAATTCCAGTGGATTGATAAAAATACAACGTGGAAAAATCAATTCCCTTTGAGAATGATCAAATATATCAAGGTTAGAAATGTTAAAAAAAAAGTTGGATGTATCACACATATCAAGACAGCAAGTGGGTCTTTAAATTGAATATATATGGGAACTAATTTTCCACATAGAGTTTTTATTGGTCCACCGAAATACTAATACATTGACCATGATGTACTTCATTTAATTTCTTTAAATTACACGTTTGTTTCCAAATTAACCTATATTGCATGCATTGTCGCACTTAATTTATTATACTAGTAAATTAAAAAAATATTTAACACAAAAATATTTACTAAAGGGTTTGTAGCCTAACAGTAATCAAGTTCCATTGTGGATATAGGTGGATTGAAGGAATAGTTTAGCCAGTTGTCGTTTCAATATATATATATATATATATATATATATATATATATATATATATATATATATATATATATATTAAAACTATTTACTAAAAGATGGCAAAAACATATATTTTTATTTACAAGGTTTATGGTAAACAAATAACAATAGACTTCATGTTTTTTCAATCCGCCACCAGCTCCCTCCCTCTCCAACTCACAGCCCAAGTCCATCACGGTCTCTTACAGTTATTCTGGATGTATGTTAGCTTGTAATTTCCTCCATCGATTCTCCCGTCTTACATACTACTACAGATCAACAATGACTGGACAACTTGGGTAGATTAGCTGGTCGTACATGTTGTTTTGAAATACTCGGAGTACAACATTAGAATATACGCCGTCGGTGTCGAGTATGCTTACAAAGTAGATGGTATCCTCAAATTCACGCATGCGCCAACCTCTTCCTTTCATCGATAGAACCCTTTATATATCCCAATGTACAACAAATACCGATTCCTACATGGTACACCGCCAACAACAACCAGAAAATAATGGAGGGTAATGAGTCTCACAGTGGACGGTGGAGGAGAAGGATTTGTAGGAGGCGTACAAAGCACTGAAACCAAAGATTAAAGAGATGAAGAGTAGCAAAGAGATGATTGCAACGGCGAAGTGAATGAAAATCCATTTCTTCTCAATTCCCATTCCCATAGAGATAACTTTGATTCTGATTCTGTAATGCTTTTGTAATACTAGAAAATAGGGATTTTGAATTCTGATCAAGGGTTTTAGTGTTGCATTAAGGATTCAGGTTTTAGTAGAATTGCCATCTCTATTGAGAAAACAAGCATACAGAAACGGAGGGCTTAATTTTGATTCAAAGTTGAATCCACCGGTAAAAAATATTGATGGTGATTTTTTGGAAACAAAAAAATATGATTTGTCTTTCTTACATATTTCTTAATTGAAATTTGGATATAAGACCATCCATTATACTCACCACATACCACATATGTGATGGGACCACATTCTCCTACCACTAGTATGAGATACCTACCACTAATACACCATTCCACCTTATTTTTTTATTTAAATTTAATTTAAAAATACATTAAAATCATTTTTTAATACTAGTTTTTCCATTAAATTAAATACCAAATTACATTAAATAAAAACTACATTAAATGAAAAAAATCTAACAATAAAAATAAAAATTACATTACCTGAAATTTTAAAAAAGAACATTAAAAAACTAAAAATTCTAACCATAAATAAAATAAACTACCCCCATACACCTACGTCGGGCTCGAGCCGACTCTTTCATCGCTTGGAAAAGTTACAAGTCTTCGCCATCGAGGTCATCGACTTGCATTTTCAAGATTTTCATATTGGTTTTTGTTTGAAGCATCGTTTGTGCCTCTTGATATGATGAGTGTGCTTCGATCATTTTTTGTTCCATCCGAGTCATCACCTGGATTTCGTTTCTTGAAGTTGCACATATCGATCAAATTTATTGCGAAACATATCCATAACACTAGAATTCAAAGATGTTGACGCCGTTTTTTTGCTTTACTTCTTCTAACAGGCCGACAAAGGGGTTGGTCGTTTTCAAAATCTAGCGGATCGTTGTTGATGTCGATGTGTGTTCGGCCGTCCAATTGTTGGGAAGTTACATCGAGGTTTCTCGAACTCTTTGAACCAGAAGATTGTGAAGTTCCTTCCGTTTGCTCTTTCCATTTTGGGGCGTCTTTCAATTTTATCCACGGTTTAATATACGGAAAAGCTTTGCGTGTTGGTGTTGTTTTTTCAAATTGCTCCATGGCCATCTTAACAACATCAAAATCGTTCGAACCGCTTTTGCGTATGTTTAAGAGGTTGTTGTAGATTCCACCAAACTCTGTGCATTTTAGTTGAATATCTCGCCATTTCGAAGTAATTTGATCGGTGTTTCGAGTTTCACTTTCCATTAACTCGTAGAAAATGGCTCGGAATTTTTCCCAAAAACTTCCGAAAGACTGACTATCGCCTACAATTGGATCTTCGGTAGCCGCCACCCATGCATCCGCTAACTTTTCTTCTTCTTCTTTTGTCCATGGAACCCTTTCTTGGGCGGTAGTGGGTCGGGCCGGTTTTTTCCCTTTTTTCTTTTTTGGTTGAAGTGGTGGTGAAGGTTGCGTTTCCGCAACAAAATCCGGCGAAAGTGGTGGTTGTGAAATATGAGGTTGTTGTTGTTGTGACGATTGTTGTTGGAGTTGTTGTTGTTGTTGAAATTGTTGGTATTGTTGTGAAATTTGTTGTTGTTGGAAAGACGATGTTTATATTATTGTTGGAAAAATGGTGTTTGTTGGATAGGGGAACCGGTTTGAAGTAGATTGAGAAAACTGTCTTGAGGTGGCTTCATAGTTTGGAATTGGTAACGTGTTGTATCTAATACAAAAGCGTTATCGGGTTTGCGATTTCTGTAATTTGGATGGGTATTTTGGTTGAGATCCATGGTTTTTGGTTGTGAAGATTTAGTATGTAGATTGTGTATAGATATAGAAAAGAATGGTGTAAAAATAACGAGTAAAAAGGTTGTATTTATAGGTAAATAAATGGTTTAATGTTTTTTTTAAGAAACTAGCTCTTCAACGGCTAGTGTAACGTTCAAATTGTGAGTGAAATCCAATTGGTCGTGTGAGTCCGTTGTCCCGAACACGAGTGACCACGAAAACGAGCCACCACAAAACAACAGGGTGATGTGCACGCCCGTTGTTCGTGGCCAGTTCGACCACAAACTTCCTCGTGCTCGGTATACCATTTGGCCTAAGTGTCGATGTCTTATTTGTTTCCGTGGAAGAATCATAAGTGGAAGAATCAAAAGCCTCCATGGAAAAATCACCCCTCTTTTGGTAAATAGTTCTAAAAAATAAAATCGTTTGTTAAATATTTTTTCAGTTACTAGTATAGTTAAAAACTCAAGTTTTGTAAATTACTAGTATAGTTAAAAACTCAAGTTTTGTAAATTCAGTGAGAGAATGCATGCAATATAGGCTAATTTGGAAACACGACGTAATTAAATGAAGGGGATAATGGTCAATATAATAGTATTTCAGGGGACGAAAAAAAACTAACGTAATAATCAAAAAAATGTATTAATTATTATATATAAAAATAAAACACTAATAAAATCAATACAAAGCTAGATACATGGACCTTAGGCGCGGTGATATCTAGTCCACATATAGACGTAGACTCGCTCAAAAGTCAAAAAGTCAAGCCTTAAACTTCACTGCCCCCTTAAACTTCTTCATAAAACCGACAGCAAGTGGCCTTCCGTTAGATATCCTCTAGTCTCCTCTGCCCAGAACGGCTACGGTCGGCCAACACCCCGGCTGTTACACTAACATATCCATACCTCATCACCTATATCAAAATAGGATGTCTTCTTCTTGGATAAACCTTGAAAATTATCTAATTCCACTACATGAGATAAAGCGTGCCACCGAAAACTTCAGTGACGAAAGATATATCGGAGGTGGTGGATTTGGTGCTGTCTACAAAGGACAACTCTCTGAACGCTGGCAATGCCGCACAGCTGCTGTCAAGCGGCTAGGTAGGGATAGCTATCAAGGAGAGCGCGAGTTCCACAACGAGCTTGAGATGATATCCAGATTCCACCACGAAAACATCATCTCTTTTATTGGTTATTGTGATGAAGGGGTTGAGATGATTATTGTTTATGAATACGCTATGATGGGAAGTCTTGATCATCATCTCCAAGACCCAAATAAGATGAGATGCATAACATGGGTACAGCGCCTGAAGATTTGCATAGGGGCTGCAAGAGGACTCGATTACCTTCACTCTGGCCTTGGGGAATATAATAGAGTAATACATAGAGATGTCAAGAGTGCTAACATATTGCTAGATGAAAATATGGTAGCTAAGATTTGTGATTTTGGCTTGTCAAAATTCGGTCCCAGAAATCAGCCAGATACCCAACTTCATACAAAGGTTGCGGGTACCCAGTTTTACTTGGATCCCGCTTACCATGAAAGCCGCATCCTCCGGAAAGAATCAGACGTGTACTCATTTGGTGTGGTACTTTTTGAAATCATGAGTGGAATGCTTGTTTATCGTGAAAGAAGAATTGGAGATGAGCAACAGTTTCTAATGAATATGGTAAGACGATACCATCAGAACAACTCAGACAAGGTGATTGATCCTCATATAAGAGATCAAATTAAAAGTAGTTCTTTTATTACATTCAAAGAAATCGCATATCAGTGCATTAGTTTCAATTTAATGGAACGACCTACACTTTGCACCGTAATTACGAAGATTGAGGAAGCATTAATTTATCAAGTAAGTCTATTTATCTTATTATTTAACTAGGTGTAAAACTAATGTATAAGATGGGTTTATGTAAAAGAATAAATTAAATATCAAATTTAAACATTTAAAAGTTTGAATTTTTAAGAAAAATTAGAAAAATATTAAAGTATTAAAATTAATGTGTTTTTTTTTCCTTTTTTAAATTTAAAAACATAATTTAGATAAATAAATAAAGGAAATTAATACGGTTTTAATTTTGAAATTTTAAAATTAAAGGGAAAGTCAATTAATGAAATTTATATGCATTTATTATTACATTTATTATAATTGTTACATTTAAGTATCACGTGAAATTTGATAAAAAAAAATAAAAAATTAATTGTAAGTAAACATAAAATAACATGTAATGTAAAGGAAATTAATACGCTTTTAATTTTGAAAATTTTAAATTAAAGGGAAAGTCAATTAATGAAATTTATATGCATTTATTATTACATTTATTGTAATTGTTACATTTAAGTATCACGTGAAATAATACGGTTTTAATTTTGAAATTTTAAAATTAAAGGGAAAGTCAATTAATGAAATTTATATGCATTTATTATTACATTTATTATAATTGTTAAATTTAAGTATCATGTGAAATTTGATAAAATAAAAAAATAAAAAAAAATAAAAAATAAAAAAAAAAAAAAAACTAAAAATCATGCGAAAAAAAATTTAATTGTAAGTAAACATAAAATAACATGTAATCAAATCAATAAGAATGATATAGCAAAAATATTTTTGTTTATTAAAATAGATTCTTTTAAGGAAATCTACTTTCATATATTTGAATGAAAACTATGATAGATTGTAAAACATGGTAAATTACGCAAGTCTTTTGCTCTGGCGGCCTCGAGAATTTGGAAGCCAATGTAATTTAGTTAAAAAAGCTCTTAAATCTTGAAAATTCTAAAAAAAAATAATAAAAAATATAATCAGTATATATGTAAAAGACAATTTCATTCCAATTAGTACAAAATAATAATAATAATAATAAAGTCGCTTTTACTTATAAATTATCAATATTTTGAAAACTTACTTTTTCTTAAAAATTGTCATTATTTGAACCCAACTTTTCTATAATAAATGTATTAGCATAACACCTCTTTTGTAGTTTTGTCTTTTTCTGCTCCTATAGAAATAAAAAATAAAAGTTTTAAAAAATGAAATATGAAAGAAAGATAGAAAATTAAAAATATGGATGGCTGTAATTTAAATCCAAAACCCATAATCTGGTATAATCGTTATTGTTAAACACCCTTTTAAAATGAATTTGTAAAAGGAAAAAAATGAAAGGCAAGTTGTAAAACATACGTATGTATGTAAAAGAATAGTTCGGGCAAAAAAAAAAATGTTGGACAAATTTGTATAAAAGAAGTTGCAGCCAAATTCTAATGTTGAATTGTTGGGATTAAAATATGCATTGTTCAGTTAAACATCGAAGATACGGACGTGACCCGGTGGTACATACTTTCATTCCAAACAGAAAGAACACCTTTCTTCATCAAATGTGGAGCAAATTCACATTTAGAACTTGTAATCAAAGCAGACGATCGTGTTCAAGAACCAAAAAGTGGTGAAATGGTTAGGGTTGTCCCACGACCTTATGTTCTTAAAAACATGAGCTTGGAGATGATAAAAGAGGTGTTTGCTAAACTTCCAGAAGCGATAAGCCTACTAGCTTTTGCTAGAACAGCTGAGGGAATCAGGGTTCGGTATTCTACATTATACATGAAACTAGCCATGAGTGTTCCAGAGCTAAGGAAGCTAATTGATGAGCTGGATAAAAGTGGTGAATTTCAAGTAGTGTATCCGCACAAGAAGACGAGCAGTAACCGAGAGGCTGTAAATAGCTTCTTTTTTTCCAGATCATCTCATGCTCCAAAAAATAGGCAATTACCTTGAAATTATATTTGTAATTTATGTTGTTGTTTTTGGTTAAAAATAAAATAAATTGTTATTATGTATTAAAAATAAAAATACGTTATTATTCGGGTTTAAAAATATATGGATGTTGTTTTTGTTCAAATTAAAGGCACCTTTTTGTTTTTGTTTAAAAATACAAGTACATTACTGTTTAGTTTAACTATAAAAACATTAATGTTTTCGGAAAAAAATATGTATCTACTTTGTTTTGGGTTTAAGTTCATTGGGTTAAATGTCCAACGAAATTTCCAAATCATTCGTTGGGTTTTTTGAAAGGCTTTAGAATGGTTTGGAAACTTAAAGGTTAAGTTTGTTGGGCTTTTAAAAATATGTATATATTTCGTTGGGTTTTTTGAATGGTTTTAAAACTTACGTTTTAGATAAAAAGTTAAATTGGTTGGGCTTTTAATGGAGTTCTTACCATAAAATCCACCAATGTTACAGTCTAATTCTAAGTTTTCAAAAAAAATGTTTCTTTTTCCGCTAAAGTTATTATATACGATGACCTTTTAATTTGACTCATTTAGCATACTTATAGGTTGGGAATTGATATTTCCACGTCTCTTTTTTATATATATCCAAAGATTTTTAAAGAAGTTGACGATAATGCCCTTCATTTATATTTAGTATGAAAACCATTATTCAAAGATACATATGGACCTGCACAATAGTGATTAATTGACCGCTATCTTCAACGCTAAAATGTGAGAATGGACACCGTCTCACAAAAATGGTGGGACTATTTATGAATGGAAAATATACTGATTAATATAATAGTGGAAAATATGTTGATTAATATAATAGTGTTAATATCTATAGTTGGTATACTTTGTGAGCTACAACACCATTTTACTAAGTATAAGAACATACATTCAAACTATAATAGGTATAGTTCGGGAAACAGTACTCTATTTTACAAATCCAAGAACACTAATCAGAAACAAGTATATAAACTATAGTTGGTATAATTTATGGAACACTACTCTAATACATTAATTCAATGATACGATATTAAATAATTATTTAAGTATAATTATTTTACATTACAAAGTACACCACTACAAGGTAATACATAGAGTTTCAAGTACAAAAGGACACTAATACACTACACGTAAACTAGTAAATACATGGTTGTGAGGCTCAACTTCAATTGTACCCATCGGGGTATAGGTCTAAGTCCTATAAGTTATAGCATGAGTGTCCTGGAAGGAGAGCGTGACTTTGTGTATAGATCTATACATGAATGACAATCTCACACCTAAACTGTTAGCTATAGTTAGGCTAGTAGGCCTGGGATAAAAACGTCATAATATTCCAACACCTGAAGAACACCGTAGATGCCACTAGTCAGTTTAGCGTGGTTATATGAAACTCACAAAAGTATTAACTAAAACATTTGTTTACGGGATTAACACTACTTCAAGGGTTTTATTTTAAATAATGAAACTACAATACACTACTTACACTACAGCTGGTAGTAATCAGGCAATCATGCAAAGGTTTTCATACCAACACTATTACAGTACACTACTTTACATTACAGCTGGTGGTATCTAGGCATTCATACAAAGGGTTTCATACAAATACACTTATATTACACTACTTTCTAGTGTTGTCACAACTAGAAATTTTGTGTCTTGTAATCACTACACTCAAGTAAAAATGTGGAATCAAAAACTTAAGAGTATGTATGATGCTTACTCTATGACATCAAAATTTTCAATCAAATACAACATACAAGTATTACAAATAGTCAACAAGCAATTGGAAACCCTAGAAGTTCTTGTTTAGGTCCATTTTGGACTAGGACTTCCTTATTGGACCCAATGGACCAATAAACTTCCAATTTGACTATCATGGGCTTAGAACCTTTAAATGGGCTCTAATTGGACCCACATTCATTTATTTCAACATTTTGGGCCATATTGGGCCTAGAATGAAATAAATTAAACATTATGAACCATAATTAACCTAAACTAGCCCAACAAAGTGTAAAAATCATATTATATTTTTTTGGGCCAAAAATCATCCAAACTAACTCTAATATTGGGCTTAGGGGCATTAAATCCCAAAACTTTCCTTTCCTTTTAAAATCTCGGCCCAAAAGCCCAAATCCAAAGGTGAAGAGTTGACTTATGGAGTGCCACCTCACTTATATCCATCATACCTCCATGCATGGACCAACATGCATCTAGGAGTGTCACTTCAACTCCTCTCTCTCTTCTCCTCTTGTTTCGACCGAGAACACACACACACATCACAAAAATCCATTCCAAATCTCTCTAAGTCTTGAAGAGCATTCCTCCCCCCTCCTTCAAAAATTTCGAGAATCAAGAGCCTTACAAGGAGAATTCTTCACAAAAATCATCATCTAGGTAAGTTGATACTTGGATCCACACTTTAGACTTCTTCTTATATCCAAAATTCTCTTCTTAACTCATATGAAATCATAATCTTGTATCTTAGAACCTCTCAAACTCGAGATCATCAAGAAAAGGTTGCTTAGGCCGAAAATCATCCCATTTTCTTCCATCTCTTCTCCACAACCGAAACCACACCCAAAGGTGAGCTTCATACCCCCTATTTTTCGGTTTTATAAGTTTTATGGGGGGGGGGAATACAAGCAAATGTGTAGATCTATGAGTATATGTATGCTTTGTATGATTTCTATGCTTATTTACATGTTTATATGTGATTATGGTGTTGGAACTAGTCAAAAAGTCCTTAAAATCGAGATTTGCATTAGGATGTATGAAACAAGTGTTAAACATATTATTACACACAAATCATTTCTAGAGAAATAACCAAGTTGGTTAAATTGAACTCATTGGGCTAATAATCACATTTTTTTTGGACTCAAAATGTTAAAAACAAAATGAAGTTAAAGGGCCCAAAATCACAAAATACAAATTCTGATGGGTGAAATGAGTCAAAACAGTTTTAATAAGGTATTTTTCTGGAAATATTCTCTTTGGAGGATTAAATGTGAAATTTTTAAGCATAATGGGCTAAAAATGACATTTTCGGCCCAATAAGGCCCAATATGCAAAATTTTCCAACTTGAGGGGCTGAAACTGTGTTTTTCTGTAAAACAGTGGACTACTAGTGTTCCAAGTCCATTTCAAAGGTTAAAAATGCTGAGAAAACTGTATTTTCAGGGACTAAAACTGTTTTCAAATAAAAATGTGCTGAAAAATATCAATTTCAACAAGTTTTAATATTAAAATGCCAAGACAAATTGTTTAAGGACTAATTCGGAAATTAATTTGTTCAAAGGGTTGAAAAGGTAAATTTACAACAGAAAGGGGTTGTAAACAGAAAAATTTCAATGTTTAAATCAATACATCCGTTGCGATAAAAATACTAACACTACGACTGCCGACAAATCACAATACACAACAACACCAAAAATCGTTATCAAACGAATTGATTCGGTCTCGAATCAATAATGAATCCGAAATTACTAACACGATGAAATTTCAATACACACGCGGAAAATTCAGGAAGTCAATAAACACGTGAGAATACACTAGACGTCGATACACCGTCTTTGGGCCCAAAAGTTTCAAATCCTGTTTGTTGGGCCTAGCTAGCCCAATGGCATGATCTTTAGGCCCTAAGGAAACCCGCTTACATGTAGTTGGGTCTTACATGACCTAATTTCGTGTAAAAGGACTTTTACAAGCTTTGTGCTCTTGGACCCCAAGGGCCTTCTGGTGTTGCTAGTAAAGTCGAGAATTCACCAAATGCGAGTCGGGCTAAGGGCCCTTCGCATTCACGATAGCCTTGAACGACTTACGGAAAAATATCGGGGCTTTGCACCCTCTTTTCCTCCATGGTCGTGGGGCTACATGAAGTCTGGGAGTTTAGATTAAGTGAATAGTGCGAGCGACGCCTAAGGGATCGTTTGTATGGTTGTAAACTAGTCATTTTCATTAATGTGTGTTTATGACAATTCACAATCCATAATTAATCCAACGTCACCGGGACTCAACGAATACACCTGTTGTAACGAAATAACAATATACAAATTATTTGATGCAAAGTATTAGGAAAACATCGGGTTTTCCTAGGGTTTTCAATTAGTACACCTACGAGTTACATACGAGTTTTACAAATCGCTCTTTTACATTTATAGAAACAAACAAGCATACGTACGAATCTTCACACTTTTTATACTAAGTTCTTTTTAGAAAATATCAGATTTTCTGGTGATTTTCAAAACAATACAAACCATTATATTTCAAACATTACTTATGAACTCACCAACATTTCATATGTTGATGTTTTTCAAAATGCTTGTATTCTCAGGTAATAGGTAAACCGAAGGGAAAAAAAATGTACCCGGTGATGTCTTGTTGTTTGTTAACTATTATTGAACAATCTACCTTTGAGAATGTAATGTTTTGAAGCTATGTATTGGATGTAAACGCAACCAGTTGTAATATTCCAATGCTTGGTATTGTATGATGTTATGTTTCATGTACATTCATTGTACCCAGTGATGTCTTGTTGTTTGTTAACTAGTATTGAACAATCTACCTTTGAGAATGTAATGTGTTGAAGCTATGTACTGGATGTAAACGCAATCAGTTGTAATATTCCAATGCTTGGTATTGTATGATGTTATGTTTCATGAACATTTATTGTGATGGTATTCAATTGAGTCACAATAGCCCTCGGACGTTTCCGTCGTCTGGTTCGGGGGTGTGACAAGTATTGAGTACACTAATACAGTATTCATTTACAGGGACCCTACATAGCCTATCTATTTACAATACTACATTACATTCACTAAAGAAAATATTGGATTTCCTGGAGATACACTATAACGTTTTCAAGTTACAAAGACAAGCATTTTCCATCACAAAAACATATTTATGAACTGACCAACTTAAATTTTGATACACATTCAAAATCACTTGTATTCTTAGGGAATTGGTAATACGGGTAAACCCGCAGCTTTTGAGAAGACGGAGCTTTTAGAGTCGCGTCTTTTATAATTTTGTTATACATTTTGATGTCATACAAACTATGTATCGAACAGATGTAAATACTTTAGTTACCAATGTAATGGTTGTGCT